TAAAAAAAAAAAAAGTTCAAATTAAATGATATTTGAAAAGACTTTAAAGATCATTTCCTTTTGATCATCGTTTTTTTTCCTGCAAATTAGTGACGTTACATAATTTTGATTTGGTGGACAATAGTTTTTGAATAATTACAAGCGAAATAAATTTATGTTGCTGCAAATTTGTTTCTAAAAAGAAAAAAGAAAAAGAAATTCAATGCATTTTTTCTTCAATATGATATCAGGACAGTCGACATTTTTGACTTTATGCCACCCAAAAAATATCAAAATAAATTTGAATTCAGAAATTAGAGAAAGAGGGGTATTCAAGTCATTGTAGGTATGAATTGCATTTTTTATGCATTTTGAAATAAATTAATAGACCTGGACAAAAAATGTGCACCATTAACTATTAAAAATTGTTCATAAGAAAAGGGCCACAGCATCTGTGTATTGGGTGCATCTCTTCATAAAATGATCAGTAACAGATGGGTAAAGCAAACAGAAAATGGGCATGGGTGTGGTTAACGTATGAAAAAGCATTCAATATTTTAATCAGACATTAATACGGCTCATAAACATTTTACAATGGTGTCCCTTCAAAATACTTAGCTAGTTTGTTACAAAAATATGAAACGTTCTGCATATCAGTGTATTCTTATCAGTGCCTGGAAGATTTCAGTAACTACACGTCATACAAAAAACGCAAAACTAGTAGTCATCTGATTTAAAACTAAAAACATCATGTTCCTGGTTAGATCGGTCGCATAGCAGCTGCTTAGAGATCAACTTCAATCTCTCATTTTATCGGCTTAGTCAAGTAGAAAATGATTGTCTTCATCACAAGGGGTCAAGAGAGATTAAAAAAAAAAGTCTGGAGGAGGAGTGACTCCAGCTATTATCAGCCCAAGGACACTTTGATGGGAGGAACCCAAGGATGGAGCTGAATATTAAAGGACAGAGAGACAGACAGAGGTGTGTGTGCTTGTGTTTTTCAGTCAAGTAGCAGTAGGGGAGGCTATGTGCAAGTTTTCCTCTTGTCGTCGAAGAGGCTGCGCAGCAAGTACACCTGGACCCCGGATACGATCACCATGACAACAAGGTTGGTACACGACCACAGGTTGACACGTTCGTAGTTGCTCTCTTGCAGGTTGCGGTCGCGGGCTTCGAAGGCTCTCAGCAATGCCTGGATCTGAAGACTCTTTCC